AGCACTTCAAAACACACGTGGGGACACGGGTGGCCCAGTTGTGTAAGGCGCGGCGATTCGCTGTACAGAGTTGCGTCCCTTTGGGCACGCCAGAAACCTATGATTGTTGCTTCGAATCCCGTTCCGCCCCGATTATGTTTCTAGGTTTGTCAGCACCTTACCCGTGCTCGTGGGTTTCACCGAAGTGGTAAACATCTGAGACCTGCATCACTTCGGGCTTTCCTCCCACATTAAGCTGACACGCCGCGATATAACTGGAATACTGTTAAAAGCGACGTTAAACACAACTCACTCACTCAAAATACATGTTTGTTTGTTTGTTGTTTAACGCCGGACTCAGCAATATTACAGCTATATTAAATAATTAATATAAAACATTATCAATTCGATCAAAATTGATTACCCCTAAAAGTTCAGATTCTTATGTGGCAGTAATGTTTCAAAATGGCGACGCACAGATAAAAATGTGGAGCATTCGGATACAATACTAAACTGGTCATCAAATGACGATACATCACCAGCGTCTGACAGAAATATTGTCCTATTACACAAGAGGTCGATATACTTTTTGTAGTGGCTAAATGATCGTTCTTATTTGGAAGTAAGCACCCCTCCTTTTCCACCGCCTCCATCAAGATGCAGTTAAATCGAAACTTTGAAGATCTTTGACATTATTTTATATCTATTGCGAGTAAAAGGCGCACTTATTTCTTCAGTTGGTCCCAATATAACCTTTTTATGCATGTGTAGAATGTCGATTGTTCTCCTAAAGAAAGTTTAGTGTCATGTGGAAATTAGAGGACTCTCTAGGGGTTCCACGAGAAATACGACCCAAATAAATTATGTTGAAAGGGACTGACGATTCCATATTCGAGAGGGGATTTCGGCTGAGACAGAATAATTTTGGCGGACAGTTTCAACTGTACAGTGTATTTCTCACAAAGGAAAAGTTGAACAATTATTTCACAAGAAATGTCCAATTAAAAATTATTTTTACAGTATGTCCGCCACAGCTGCTGCAAAATATACAGAATATTTCTCTGAAAGGAAACGTCGAAAAGTTATTTATTTTCACAACAAATATCCAACAAACAACTTTTTTTTTGCAATATTTCCAAATAAGTACTTTAAATATGCCATTTATTTTTTCCGAAAGAAAGCTTCGAACATTTTTTTCACAACCAATATCCAACGAACACTTATTTTTACAGCAAATGTCCAACGAACAAATAGTTTGTCAGAATTAACATAGAATATGTATCGAAATGGGGGACTATCAATTCTATTGTCAGCTGAGTCAGTGACGGGTGCTCAAGTCTTTCAGGCACTGGTTCGTCTGGTCCAGACTCGATTGTATATCCCGTCTTGATAAACCAACATTCTTAAAACGAGAGATCCAGAACAGCGAGACAATCCCGGAATCGCCTTCTCTCAGATTTGTTATAAATCCGACGGCACATGTCAGTTCCCGTTATCTCTTATCTCCAAAACCGGTGTCATTCTTATCTCGACACCTCAAAACAATAACCAGGGTTCGTATTGGATTATCCGAAGCTGCGGGATAGGTCCACTAATGACCAATACAAATGTTTCGTTGCCTTCATTTAAATGACACGTGTCACAACCCTGAAACAAAACCCCAATAACTGTCTCCCAAATGATCATCACGATATATCTCGTGTTGTAGAAAAAATCCTATCCCATCTGCCACTTTAAGCTTGACACCTACAGTTAATAAAACAACTCAAGCAAAGAATCGACCAAAGCATCGGCCAAGAAGCATATCCGAGGTCGTGACCTCGGAGCTCGTGATAACCCCTTCGAGTCGCCGCCATCTTGAATTCCGGGAGAGCAGAAAATTTGCATGTCCAAAACGGCTTTCTTTTACGACAATAAGCGAATTACGCGCTCATCGTTCTCCACTAAATGTGTCAAAAAGGTAGCGAATATGAGTTTTGGCTGAACGCGTGGATTAGGATTCGTGAATGTTAACTGTATGATAGGAAGAGCCCTTTAACAGCCATCTTTAATCGCGTGTCCCGAGATTATATTGTGAATGTGTTCATGAGAGTTGCTATTGAAGTTGAGAATAAGGATTAAGGGTGTTTAGTCACAAATGGGAAAGAGCTAGCGATACCTGGCTCTTTTCAAATCGGTTCGAATTTCAGAAACTTGTAACAATTTCTTGACGACAAGCTATTTGTTGCTTCAGTACATGTTTGATGTGGATATTTGGATGACATACTTCTATGAATATTAAATAGAAGGTTAGTTGTACTGGATTTCAATAAAGCCTCAGTCTGTCTGTTATTCGATGCTGGTAATTTCGGTAATACGATTGTACGAGATTTGTACCAGCATGTGCTACAATGGGAGTCCATGTACCAGTGGGTTAATATTAAATTAATAAGATCTTGTATGTTCGTGTTATTCTAAACTGCGCTTGTATTCAACTTAAATAGAGGGGGTGATTATTGTTTTCACGCTGTATCAGCAGTTAAATATATATAGACGCTATAGTTGTTAAAAAGTGTATACGTTCACTCACTCGCTCGTCCACTCACTGACTTTATCTCGTCGTGTCACTAAAAATAACATGTTACCGAAAATCTTTGAAAAATGATTAACCCTTAGCGGTATTAACCTCAAACTGTATCTCAAACTCAATCGATCAATGAGTGTGAGTGAGTTTGATTTTACGCCGCTTTTAGCAATATTCCAGCAATATCACGGCGGCAATCGATCAATGAACGTACTGGGTTTTGTGAAAAATAATGTGTGAGTACACAAAATTACTTGACTCGTTCATATCGATCCCAATTGCGTAGATCGATTCTCATGATGTCAATCACTGGATTGACTGGTCCAGACTCGATTATTTACAGACCGCCGTCATACAGCTGGAATATTGCTGAAATGAATGAAACAAACGTTATCAAAACGTTACTAGGCTGAAATCGTTCGTCAAAACACTGACAACTAAAGGTCAAGGACACAACTGCCGTACCCGTATTAAATATACCAGCATCGAATGAGCATTATTTGTTTGTTTCATTTTAAGCCACCAACGAAATGAGTGGTCCGGTAAGATATATTCTGTATCCAACAAATGATCGGTCCCGTATGCATCTGAAGTTTTTTATAGATGATATATAAACGCATTTCAACACTGTATAAGGGAAACCCTTTAGAATATAGGAATTCATGAAATCAAGTCCGGCCACAACAAACTCTTGTATGTGAACAAAATGCACCGGTCCTTTATAAGCAGCTTTTTGATTGGTTGCGATGCTTTAGCAGCCATGTTTTTTCTTGCCATGTTCGATTGACAACACCGCCCACTCTAACCTTACTTTTCCCAAAGAAGGAATTACCACACCAGCAAAATATAATGTTGTTCAATTATATGACAACGTTTTAAGTCATTAAAGTTTAACATGTCTGAGTACGAAATGGAAATGATGGCCTCAAGTGTGAATTCTCGCACAAAAGTAATATACAATGGCCTAAAGTAAAATAATGACAATTACCGTATTCGACGTAATAAGCGCCCCGCTCTAATAAGCGCCCACGGCGATATTTGCTAATATATTGGCTAGTGAACAATCCCAATTAGCACCCCGTCCGATTGATCAATGTACACAAGACTTATTTATTCGTGTATAATACGCTTTCGTGTGTTATATTCACCCTTAAGTATGGGCAACAAAATTCTGGAAAATATATCTGCCATGTATGTATGATACGCACATGCTTTTCTTTTGTATCATTTCAGTCTGTCAGCATAAACTACGAAATTTACAATCTTTCAACTCCATTTTTTTTCTCACCAAAATTTTATTCTGATAAGAGCCCTGTTTCTACTTTTGAGAGCGCCCCGGGCGCTTATTACGTCGAATACGGTAATCGTAATTATTACAGAAAAGAACCTGAAAATACTCCCCTGAATGTGATCTCAGTTAAAGTCGTATATATTTCGAGCTCAGTTTTTTTCCCGAAATGAAATTGCAACGCGAGGTTTATCTGTGTTTGATCGAGAAAACTAAACCTTTGCAACTGCGGCCGCTGACGCATCTCATTGCAGTCTTCGCCATTTCCGATGCGTGGCAATTGCAGGTCAAGAGTAACGGCTTTATTGTCAAATGGAGCAGATTCTATTCCGAATGTAACAATTTTGCCAGTAATAATTCTGACAAGCCTACAAGTACCTATATCGATCCTTTTATTTCCGACTCGTGAAGATCAGTGTCAGAATAGGTCTTCAGCAACCCATGCTTGCCTTAAATGGCGACTACGCTTGTCGTAAGAGTGTCTACGCGACTGACGGGATCGGGATTTCAGGCTCGCTGACTTGGTTGATGCATGTCATCGTATCCCAAATGCGTAGATCGATGCTCATGATGTCAATCACTATTGTCTAGTCCACACTCGATTATTTACAGACCGCCGTCGTATAGCTGGAATATTGCTGAGTGCGGCGTTAAACAACAAACAAACCCTTTATTTTCAATAGATTCTCTCGCCAAATTAAATGACAGAAGAAAAGAAATCCCGTTTTAGCTAACTACAAAGATGCTAAGTTCGACACAGGAGCCCGTGTTGCATAATACGTCTAGGATAACCTTGTCTACCCACCCACCCATTATTCCCACAATACCCTATGCCACACAACATACCACGACACCTTTAATTTAGGGCAAAATTTCATTCAAATTATAAAATAACATACGCTTGAGACAGAATTGTGTTTGCCAAAATGCTGTGATGTAAAGATTTGCATAAAACGCTTTCTAATCGGGCCACCTGCACAAAGTGTAAATCCCAACTTAATTTAAACCATAATGCCTACTAAAGTTAGACCAAGCTGCTGAAAGCCACCATCCCACATCACGAACATCAAAGTTGACGGTCTATCATTAACCGCTTGGAAGTCTATTTTAAGTTTATTGAATAAATACAAATCCTTCAGCTTCATTAACCATAACGAATTTCCACTGTAGTTTTGTCACGGTCAAGTTGTCACGGATCATGGTCAAGTGAGCAAAGCCAGAGGTCAAGCCATTGAAGTTCAACACCGTCATCAAATCGTTATTGGAACTTTCAAGATGGCCGCTTGTCAAAATAACGGTAAATACGCTGTAAATCTTCCTGTGAAACAATTTGGTTGAGGGATTTGGGAAATTAATATGGAAATGATTCTTTAGAGGGGAAACGAGTCTGATTTATCGGTAGCCCTTTGAAATATATATACCCGGCGCTGGAAAAGGTAATTAATATCTTCTGTTATTCCCACAGCTGCAGAATAACGAGCGGCTGATAACGAGTATGATGTCTAACTGTATATATAAATGATGTACAGCACTTCTGTAACTGTATGCTATGATATACAATTAGTCTACAACTGTATAAATCAGTGATATACAACACGTGTATAACTGTATATATCAATTTTATACAGCACGTCTACAACTGTATAAATCAGCGCTACACATTAGTCTACAACTGTATAAATCAATGATATACAGTTTGTATGCAACTGTATCAATAACATCAGTTAGTACACAACTTTATTTATCAGTGATATACTAGTGTGTAACAGTATATATAAATGATATACAACCATTCTACAACAGTATCACTGATGTACAGCGTGTCGATAAGTGTATATATCAATGATATACAACTAGTCCACGACTATACATCAATGATATACAGCACGTCAAAAACTGCATATGTCAATGATATTATTAGTCTTGACCATTGCAAAGAACATACACAATTAAATGAATTAAATACATCTACAACACCTTCCGTTACCATTTTGTTCTCAACATTTACTTGATACAGTATATCAAGTAATGCTTCATGATCTGTGAGGTGAGGGGAAATGGGGTTTAACGTCGCCGCAAAGATTATTGCACATATATAGCGACGTGCATGCACTGTGTGTGTGTGGCTGCTTGTACTAGTCCGGACTGATGCCGATTTATAGTGCTAGCTCACTGAGATACCATGTCGCAGTTTAACTTGAATACCCCACTCAGACACAGTATACTGACTCCGGGCCGACCAGTCCTTGTTTTAGCCCCTTAGCGCCAGACAGGGTAACAACAAGTACCAGCTTTTAACGTCTTTTGGTATGACGCGGCCGGGGATCAAACCCCGGATCTTCCGCTCTCCGGGCGGACGCTCTACCACTAGACCACGGAGGGGGTCTCATGATCTGTCAAAAAACACAGTTCCGCATCCACATAACAAAGAAACCATAACATAGCATATACTGCCCGTGAGGATCCAGGATAGAATAGGTCTTCAGCAACCCATGCTTGCCGAAAGAGGCGATTATGCTTGTCGTAAGAGGCGACCAGCGGGTGGTCAGGCTCGGTGACTTGGTTGATGCAGGTCATCGTATCCCAATTGCGTGGATCGATGCTCATAATGTCAATCACTGGATTGTCTGGTCCAGACTCGATTATTTACAGACCGCCGCCATATAGCTGTAATATTGCTGAGTGCAGCGTTAAACCAAAAAACAACAAACAAACAATATCTATATAAATGACTGTCGATGACGTTTGATAAGATATGTATTCTTCGAAATGTAATTATAAGGACACCTGGTATATCTTACCAAGTGCCCAATCAACATAACGTGGGAACCAAGATACGCACAAAGACCACATAAAGTACTTAATGATATCTCCAATGTTTACTTGTTAACCTGACGCTTAGTCTGACGACACACTCACGCACACATTATTGCCTAAAAAACAACACTTATTCCAAGACCTATGTTGTACTATTGTCCAATTCAAGTGGCCCTTAAAACGGGTTCATCGTTGTTCTATAGGTGACAAGTCCTGACGTGCTATTTCTGAAACGTAAAACACCCCCTGTTCCTGTACTATTCCGAACAAGAGTTATTAACATCTAAATGTACGCAATCCATCCCCTATATGTCCGCGAGGTGCCTCTCTTTTCGCCGTGACATGACGGTAAATATACATAATCGTTTCACGTCAATACAAAGTGTCTGTCGAGTCTCACCAGAGGTCAGCCACACAATGGCGGACAAACTCATTGCTGTGCAATCGCCTTGCTGTGATGGCTTCTCTCAAATTCATCCCTGACCTTTGCTTCGAGGTTAGCACATCTAGCCTCGTTTCCACATTGTCTAACATGCGCTTAATTACGTCTCAGCTGTAGAAACGCGACAGGAATCTAAAAGATAAATAGCTCTTTAGCCGCTGCGTGAAACGAAAGAATACAGGTTTATGGCGTGTTCGTTGGGTTAAAACCAGAGTGTAAAAAGTCACGAAAATTTGAAAGCTCGATAATAGAGGAGTGTCGCTTATCGTCAGTGGACGGATTGAAGCGGGTAAACTCGATGTTCACGCATTGAGGCATAAACTCTCAACATGCAAGCTGGATTCCTGTCTAGTCTGTAATCCAAGGGCATTATATCATTAATGGGTGATACCATGTTCCCTTTTTTTCGCGAACACCTGGTGTAATCTCGTCATATAATTTTCAACGCTATTTTGCCTTTTACGTCCAATGGCATCTGTTTCGGTGGATAATCGAGACTGGTTACTCTCTGGTGCTGACGTTTACTATTGATATTATGTTATACAACTTAAATTTTTATGCTTGTCAATAACTTGGAATTATTATTCACATTATTATATATTTAGCGGTGAAAACTGCATACATTCCAAAATAAATCGACATTTCGCTCGAGTGAAAGATAATGACATTAATATCTTCCATGGTTTTCAGGGTAAGATTAATTATGCAGTAACGTAACATGTTTGGTTCATGTACGCAATGTAGTCTGTGTTAAAACATCTGTGAAAATCTGATCTGATTTCCATGATCTAGTTTGTCTTTTTCTTAACATCTGTGAAAATCTGATCTGATTTCCATGATCTAGTTTGCCTATTTCTTAACATATGTGAAAATCTGATCTGATTTCCATGATCTAGTTTGCCTATTCCTTGATAACTGTGAAAATCTGATCTGATTTCCATGATCTAGTTTGCCTATTTCTTGAAATCTGTGAAAATCTGACCTGATTTCCATGATCTAGTTTGCCTATTTCTTGATATCTGTGAAAATCTGATCTGATTTCCATGATCTAATTTGCCTATTTCTTGATATCTGTGAAAATCTGATCTGATTTCAATGATCTAGTTTACTTATTTCTTGATATCTGTGAAAATCTGATCTGATTTCTATGATCTAGTTTGCCTATTTCTCGATATCTGTGAAAATCTGATCTGCTTTCAATGATCTAGTTTGCCTATTTCTTGATATCTGTGAAAATCTGATCTGATTTCCATGATCTACTTCAATTATGTCTTGATATCTGTGAAAATCTGATCTGATTTCCATGATCTAGTGTGCCTATTTCTTGATATCTGTGAAAATCTGACCTGATTTCCATGATCTACTTTACTTATTTCTTGATATCTGTGAAAATCTGATCTGATTTCCATAATCTAGTGTGCTTATTTCTTGATATCTGTGAAAATCTGATCTGATTTCCATGATCTAGTTTGCCTATTTCTTAACATCTGTGAAAATCTGATCTGATTTCCATGATCTAGTTTGCCTATTTCTTGATATCTGTGAAAATCTGATCTGATTTTCATGATCTAGTTTGCCTATTTCTTAACATATGTGAAAATCTGATCTGATTTCCATGATCTAGTTTGCCTATTTCTCGATATCTGTGAAAATCTGATCTGATTTCCATGATCTAGTTTGCCTATTTCTTAACATATGTGAAAATCTGATCTGATTTCCATGATCTAGTTTGCCTATTCCTTGATAACTGTGAAAATCTGATCTGATTTCCATGATCTAGTGTGCCTATTTCTTAACATCTGCGAAAATCTGATCTGATTTCCATGATCTAGTTTGCCTATTTCTTGAAATCTGTGAAAATCTGACCTGATTTCCATGATCTAGTTTGCCTATTTCTTGATATCTGTGAAAATCTGATCTGATTTCCATGATCTAATTTGCCTATTTCTTGATATCTGTGAAAATCTGATCTGATTTCCATGATCTAGTTTACTTATTTCTTGATATCTGTGAAAATCTGATCTGATTTCCATGATCTAGTTTGCCTATTTCTCGATATCTGTGAAAATCTGATCTGATTTCCATGATCAAGTTTACTTATTTCTTGATAACTGTGAAAATATGATCTGATTTCCATGATCTAGTTTGCCTATTTCTTGATATCTGTGAAAATCTTATCTGATTTCCATGATCTAGTTTGCCTATTTCTTGATATCTGTGAAAATCTGATCTGATTTCCATGATCTACTTTACTTATTTCTTGATATCTGTGAAAATCTGATCTGATTTCCATGATCAAGTGTGCCTATTTCTTGATATCTGTGAAAATCTGATCTGATTTCCATGATCTAGTTTGCCTATTTCTTACCATCTGCGAAAATCTGATCTGATTTCCATGATCTAGTTTGCCTATTTCTTGATATCTGTGAAAATCTGATCTGATTTCCATGATCTAGTTTGCCTATTTCTTAACATCTGTGAAAATCTGATCTGATTTCCATGATCTAGTTTGCCTATTTCTTAACATCTGCGAAAATCTGATCTGATTTCCATGATCTAGTTTGCCTATTTCTTGATATCTGTGAAAATCTGATCTGATTTCTATGATCTCGTTTGCCTATTTCTTGATATCTGTGAAAATCTGATCTGATTTCCATGATCTAGTTTGCCTATTTCTTAACATCTGTGAAAATCTGATCTGATTTCCATGATCTAGTTTGCCTATTTCTTAACATCTGCGAAAATCTGATCTGATTTCCATGATCTAGTTTGCCTATTTCTTGATATCTGTGAAAATCTGATCTGATTTCCATGATCTAGCTGCTTATTTCTCGGTATCTGTGAAAATCTGATCTGATTTCCATGATCTAGTTTGCCATTTCTTAAAATCTGTGAAAATCTGATCTGATTTCCATGATCTAGTTTACTTATTTCTTGATAACTGTGAAAATATGATCTGATTTCCATGATCTAGTTTGCTTATTTCTTGATATCTGTGAAAATCTGATCTGATTTCCATGATCTAGTTTGCCATTTTT